GAAAGGGAAAAAAGAAGGGGAAAAAATGTGAGGACTAGCTTCTGCTGAATATTTTAGCTGATGATATCTCATTCGTGTGGCAGACCGGTAACAGGAAAATAAATGACTCTCATCCTTTTGGTAAGCAACTCCAAATTTTCTGGACATAAATCTGCCCTCAGAGTAAGCTATCTAAACAGATTTTCATGAAGTTAAAAGGCTTGGATGTCTTAATGCATCCAAAGGGTCAGGGCTGGCACATAATTTTGGGAGGACAGTCAGGAGTTTTTCTTTCAGGAAGTTAATTTTTCTCTTTGTTTTATTTATACCTTTCTGTATGTGTGGTGTTATTGTCAAAGGACAGGCTGGTGAACAGTAGAACACAACATACTTCAGTGTCTCATCAGAGGAGCCTCAAACAAAGCGAAATAAAGTATGAAGTTTTCCTGTCAGAGCATCGGAAGGTTCAAAGTTCAAGTCTGGCTCTTATCTACACTGCCCAGCCCCTTGTCTGCAAAGTAGAACTGGAAACCTTAAGAGAAAAAACATGCTAGCCGAATCAATGCTTGTAAAACTTGCAAAATATCTCTGCTTCATTCATAGCTCAGCCACTGATTTGATGCGTCTCTGTTCCAGCAAAAATATTATTTCTTTTTTGTCTGTGTGTATTATTTTTCTCCATTTATGCCAGAAAGTTTAAGCCTAACCAAAACTGCAGTAAAGCTAATCCCAGGTGAAGCACTTGTTCATGCTTCTGCTTCTGCCACGTTTATTAATGATTTTAATAGAAAATTGGGCCGCACTGATGTTAAAAAATTAAATAAAATCATAATGCACTTATTAAACACTAGCATAGTTAAGACCAGGATTCCTGGTTGTGAATCAGGATGAAAATACTGCACAGCATTATTTAGTTACTTTCTTAAACTTGGAAAAACACAATGGAAAGAACTAAAGCTAAAAATAGGCAAGCAGCAAGGGGTCCAATTCATAAAGAAGCAATGTTTGGCTTGATTTGTTGTGGCTCACCTACTCCATCAAGTCATTTTGCATAAATACCTAGATAGATGTTTCCTATGCTACTTGCAGTTCACCAGAAGAAAGAATTACTCTAAGTACTTCTTGCATTTAAATCATGCTTGCCCTACTTCTAGAACTATAAGGGGAATAAAACTTGTTTTTACGAAGCAAGTCCTTTATCAATGTTGCCAAAAAATGAGAGCTCACAGCAATTAGACATCAAGATTACAAAAATTACAGAAGGGCAAACAAGAATCTCAGTGTCAGAATACCAAAAATTTAGATAAGGACATGGAGGAAATCAACATGAACGTCCTGAAATGCATACTGCAATCTTCGTTATGAGGGAAGATTTCAGTAAGGGTCGTTGAGCACCGGGCACTGAGACAAGGTTGAAATGAGGTGTGGGATGAGGAATGTTCCCTGCTGGTGGAGGCGGAGAATGGAAGGGTTCAGATTCGAGGCGAGATAGCAGATCTCAAATATGATCAGTGTTGATACCTATATTGATAAGGAACTGAGATCCTGCATGAGGGGAGAAAAGAGACGTTTGGGTCCGATTCCCACACAGGATTGTGTGGGCAAATGAAATCCAAGTTACTGTTATCATACCCTTTCTATCCTTTTTTTCAGCAGAAGACAGCAGAGGCTGGAGATGCTCATAAAGCACTTAGCCTGAGGCCCTCGGATGGGAAAGAATGGGTGAGTACCTGGAACTGCTCATTAATTTATTTAAGCTTGGTTCTAGCTCCAGTCTGTGTGATTTTGGGGTTATTTTTCTTGCTGTGAACTTGGAAGTGAGGAGGAAAGTAAAAGCAAGTGTTGCAGTGGTGAAGTCAGGTGAATGGTATATCGTATGAGATGCATCTCGTCACAGCATGGGAGGAGCAAGCTGCTTGCTTGCAGAAGAAGGATGCGAAGTGTGCAGGAGCAGTGCTGTCCATGTGAGGAGAATTCACTGTGGCAAAGGTGAGGGCATTTTACGACAGTCAAAGGAGAGGTGGCTTTCTTTTGTTTTGTGGTGCTGTGCAGGGCTGGTTTGTGCACTAGATAGTTGATATGAGCCAGGGACAGAACAACCAAGTGTGAGGATGTGTCAAAGGCACTCTGAGAGGTGTCCAGAGAAAGCCTGCATCCACCATGGGTAGGTATGGAGATGAGGGCTGTAATATCCAAAAACCCCTGTACAAACTCAATTAGGCTGTCTGAAAACGTCCCTTACTGTAGAAAATATGGGCCTTGCTAAATGCTAATGTCTGACACCCCAGTGACAGGCAGCCAACCCCATCTCTAAGAGCACCTTTAAGAGTAATATCAGTCTTGGAAAGACACAGTCCACTTGCATTAACACACATCTCTCTTTTCTTGAACTGTTGGCACAACCTGCCACGTTAATATGGTGCTGCAGCTTCTCCCAGTCTTCCTAAACATGGAGCGTGGAGTGTGTGATCAGGAACGCAGAGAGGTGGTGCAGCCTGGCTCTCACAGAGAGAGGAATCTCAGCTTGCCAGCAAACACCCAGCAAACAGAACACAGTGGGTCCTGCATTTGCATAGATTTACACAAATTTGCATACCGGTGTGAGAAGAGAGCAGCTGGGAAAGAGGAACAGAGAGACTCCAGAGTTTTGCTGTTTTAGAAGGCTGCTCCCCTCAAGCACTTAATTATTTAACCCACCCCTTCTTCCTCCAATCTGCTGTTCGCTCCATTTGCTGAGGAATTGGGGACGGACAGCCGGCCCTGCTTGGTGCAACACCCATTGTCTGGATCATGGTCTTAGGGCATGTTCCCTGTTGGCTATGATCCTTGCTCCTGTAATTAAGTTCAGAATGTTTTGTGTATTTTTTAATTCCCCCAAAGGCTTTATGACTTTGTGAAATAGGAACTTCCTTTATTTTAGGACAATCCTCTGCATACTTATGGATGCCAGCTTTAGAGCAGGGAAATGTATGGGTGCTTCAAAGAAATCACCAGATTTTTATTTTTGTCTTTTATTCTTTAAATATGATGTTAAAGACTAGTTTTCCTTGATGCTCTCAGGAGCAGATTAACTTAATTACCGAACTCTTCCTCCTTTAAACCAGCTTGAGGCATTGTTTTTGGCAAAGTTATAAATGATTGAAAATCAGCGGTTATAATTGGGAATGTTAAGCAGCCATAACTTTAGTTTTCATTATCAGCTCCATCTACAATACTTCACAGTACTTTTTGACATAAAATGTAGACTGAGGCCATGAAAAGAGCAAAGCAAAGGAGGCTTGTATTTATCACTTTGATATCATTCTTATTTAAGCATTACTTAACTAGCAGAATGTCATGCAGAGTTTGTGGGTGACTACAGCTTGCAATTCAGATCCACTGCCTCCCCAAACAAATGATGACCTGGTAAGTGTGCCCACACCCTTACATAACAACAGTATTTATAATCAAACGGTAAAATTATATGCCCCCAAATGTGCTTGGAAGATAGAGAGCTTTGTGAATCACGTAGTGAGATTCTTCATCTTATAGAGGGTGGTAAAGATCATGTGAGTAAAGGGTAATGAAAAAATGGTAGTCACGTATGTTTCTCTTCAAGAGCCAGATGCTGGAGGCAAGTGATTTCACTCTAATTTTCTTTCTCTTGCTAGATTTCCCCCCCCTCTTTTTAATGTATATTTGTGTTCTTCATTGCTGTGGAGGAAAGCCAGAAAACGTGACCCCTAAGTACTCTAGAGGCTCAAAATCTATTGCTTTTCTTAAAGAGAATTTCTTGATTCAGCCGACTGTTGTGTCCAGCTTGCGATTTTTGAAAGAAATCCCTCATAATGTTGTGTTAGGAAGAGACACAAGTCTTGGCAGCGTGAGAACAGAGGCGCTGTTGTGGAGAAGTTAATATGTACAGCTCTAGCTAAGACAGAATTGGATGCTCAGAGTTGCACTGTAATGTCTTCAATACAATGTAAGATTAGATATCAAGAACATCTAAATCATTTTGACACTTATGCTGAGTTGCTGCTTAGCCCCAAATCACACACACTCTGTTATTCCTAGTTTTGTCTGTTGGTGTGAATATTTTCTGCCTTCACTGGTGTGATGTGGTTACTGTTAATCTGTTCCTTTCTGTTCAGTCCTTTTGGAGGTATTATGTATATCTAATCCTCAGCATCCGTCCTAAGCATCTTACATGGATGCCTGGAAAGAATTCAGGAAAAAGGCCAAATCCCTCCATCACCACTGCAAAGCAGTATCTGGGCTGTTTGGCAGAAGTTAAGTCAATGGGGTGCTGTATTACTATCAACATCTCCAGCAAGCCGGCACCTTGCTGCAGGGAATGCTGTGGAAAGCATGCCCAGATGTAGATGCTGGGTGCACAGGAAGGGGGTGAATTTTAATGGTGCATTTCTGAAAGAGAGAAAAATTGTTTGCATTATTTGCAGCAAGTGAGATCTGAATGCTATTACAGTTTATGATTAGCAAAGAAAGGCTGTGTTTCGAAGGAGGTGAAGGGTTCATCACATGATATGCCATAAACATGGGATTAGTTCTGACATCTCAAACCCAAGAGCTGAGTGTCTAAGTTAAGTGAATTGTCCAAATTTCGTTATCCTTTGAAGAGGTGAGTAGGTGCACAGCGAGGGATGACTACACAGGTATATCCAAAAGTGTCTAACTCTTGCGATTGCCTACAAAGGGAGATCGATGACACTGTTAGATAGTTGCAGTTAGGTGAGAGGAAGCTGGGCCCAAGCATCTAGTTGAAGGTGTCTATGAGATAAGCTTTTTTGTGTAGTTGATCTAGAGGGGGTGGTTTCTCCTGAGAATAATTGAGACCATTTCAGGCAGGTTCACATTTCTAAATTATTCACTGAAGAATCAATCCAGAGCTTTACCTGTCCGCATTCCTAACCGGGTACCTAAGCTAAAATCTGAATACACACTGAGAGTGCAACTTATAACAGGGTGCATATTCCTATGGGTCCTGAAGACATACCTACAAAAGTCAGGGCTTGTTGCAACACCAGTTTCTAACCTTTTGTTGACAGAAATTTTCATATCAGTCTCCAGCAAATAATGTTACATATTATGGCTTGATCATATTTGTGCTCCTAAAGAAAATGCTTAGTGATGATTGCGCGTACTTTTACAGTAGTGATTATCAACCAATAAACAATCTGGGCTTTTTCACAGTTCCTGCAGAAACGGAAATAGTGTATTTTATGTCTTCAACTGGTACCTAATTTCATAAGTGTATGGAACTAAATAATCCAGGAATAAAATTAGGGCAATATCCTTACTTCCTATCAGCTCCTCTCAGGCTGTTGCAGGGCAAAGGGCCTTTTCTATATTAATTATGTCCAGTGTGCTGAAAGGTTTGGCTAGAGCCTTAGCCAATACAGCTTGGCTAGAGTCTGACAAGGCAAGCCAAGCCTTTTTCCCTACTGACATGACTACCAGGGCTGACAGCTGCCAGGTCTTGTTGTCCTCAAATGGAATTTTTCAAAGGTTCCTCCTCAAACTGTTGCCACTGACTGTCATGGCTTTCTAGGTCAGTGGTTTTGTGTATATCGCATGCATTTGCCAGCCCACCCTTGTAAATTCTGTGCCCAAAGAGACTGCTTTGAATGAAGTCACTTAATAATTCACATGTGAACATGAGCAACATTTAGCACCCTCCTTTTGTCCCAGTTGAGTTGATTCTTCAGACCTGGACTGAAGTAAGAAGCTGATCTGTACATCCACAAGATTGGCAGGAAGCTTGTGCAACACAGCTTGAACAGCATATGGCCTGATGGTTTGAGAAGGTGCAAAACTGTTAACCCTGTCACTGCCTTCCAGAGGTGCTGAATTTAGAGAATAATGAAACATCAGTGCTGCAACACCGTTTCAAGCAGTTTTTATTTAGGCAAAGAAAGAATCATGTTCCTTTTCTGGGATGACACAATATGTTGTGAATATTGGCGACCACCACCTGTGTGTCTGGGGTAGTAGCTTTATTGGATAATATAAATTCCTGTGTCACATAATGTGAAGAAACTACCTGCATTGGTATTCCTGAACCCTGGCATAGGTAGGGTGCTTGCTGTGCTCATACCTTTCTCCTCTCCAGACTGCAACCTCAGACTTTCCTTCTCTCATCTCATTTCAAATTCTGGCTTTCACTATTAATTAGAGGTCAACTGTACTGTTTAAATTATCAGGCCAAATTTGAAACTTCAGTAATGAACTTGCCCTGAGTTATGCCATGAGGATGAAAGTCAAAATCAAGCCTTCACCTAGGCAGGAATTGTAATAAGGCAAAGAAAATGTGCAAGAACATCTGGATTTTGTACTTGAAGTCTAAGTTGATGAAAGATTATGAAAGTGCAGGACAGATGTACTGATGTTTAGTAGAAAAGGTAAGATGGCTGAAGATTAGATCAAAGTAAAAAGAGGATGAAAATCATCATTAGCTGTACGATGAGTGTTGCTGTCCTGTATAAATGATAAATTAAATGTAATGGCATGGTTATTAATAGGAGGATTCACACTCATTTCAGTATTTATCTGATTACATGAAAAGATGGTTGCAAGAGATGTTTCTTGGGAACAGAAGATTTGGTTGGGTCCTTGAACAGGAAGGGTTTTAGCTATAGTGATACATAGTAACCTATTTTAAAACATACTATTATTCTAAATAATGGTGTATCTTTTTCTTATTAAACTTGGTGTATTAGCTGTTAAACCAAAATAGCAATATTTGGTCTGGTAAGAAAAGGATGTTACCTGCTTTTTTGTGTCTTTCAGTCTGATGCAGGCCCTAGTGTCTTCTGCTTTCTTGGTGAAAACAGTAAAATGCTGCCCCAAGGCTGTTTGCACAGCAGTCTGTTCTTACCTTTAGATGAACAGAACCACTGGAGGGGAAAGAGCTCATTGCTGTAGTCCATGAGTGAACAGAAATGAACTGACCTACAGAGAGGGTTTAATTTGCATAACCTAGGTATTGTGTTGGGAATCTCTGTAACTCACCTCCAAATATTTGGGAAAAGGAGAAGTCTACTATAATTGCTTGGAAACTGCATCCTCTGTACTTGGAGGTTTGTATAATGACACTTTTCTCTCCAGCAAAAATTGCACGTGACTTCAAAAAATCTTATGGAAGAAGGGAAGATGCAGAGAGGTTTGTGCTAGAAATTTACAGAG